CCTGGAGGAGAACAAGAGTGAGGACTTGGAGGGGGTGGAGGTCTGAAGCACGTCTAGAAACCAGGGAAAGTCAGTCCCATTTGGTTATCAGTCTCTAAGGTGTGTGCAAAAGTATCGGAGGCAGTAAATGGCCCAGGGTATATTTTATTGCTCGTTTTAAATAGAAACACGAGATGTGCCAACAGGTAATTCAGTAGATGCAAATGAAAAGAGATGGAATGGGGGCCGAGTGTTCTCATTATTCTTCGAAATAATGCAAAGGAATGGCATTTTCACTTGATTCCTTTCCAAAGCCTGCACCCTGTTCTAAGCAGGGAGATTAATGCCCTGGTTTCTGAGAGCCATCTTTTCGTTCTCGAATATGGGAAATGATCCCTTCCTACATCTACGTCAGAGACGCACTCTGGCAGGGGTGCCTGACCATCTGCTTTCTCCTAAGCTGGCAGGGCTAAACCTTAAACCCGGAGCCAGGTCCCTGCCTGTCGCCTGCTGTAGCCCTGAGCGGGCGGGCTAGCTGAGAGGCAGGATCCTGCCTGCCTTTGCATTCAGTTAGTTCCTGCGTGCCATCCCTAACCCATCCAATTAGATCCCTTTTAAGAAATCAATTAAATAATCAATTAAAACAACTGAAATAGTCACACGCACAAAGAAGCTAGTGAAAGGCTTATTGAAACCAGCCCATCAAGGGCAGAAGTGACCTATTTGGGGAAAAGGCAATTCAGCTCCAGCAGAAAAAAAAAACCAGAAACATCGGTCAGTGCCTGAGGGGAAACTGAAAACACTGTACAAAACTGTGGGGAGATGCAAACCCTATCAGGAGGGCCTTGATAGGACGGCTCACACTTTTTTATTCTTCCTCGTATCTGTCTAAGCTTTGGCTTAGACACTGTTGGTATAAAAGACAGGCCATACTTTCTGGGGCAGAAGCCCTCGTGTTCTGAGTCCCTGCTTCAGGCCTCTCATGCCAACGCAGGCAGCACTGTGGGAACCCCACAGGGGTGAGGGCATGAGCTGCACGTCACAGGGCTCCTTTATAGCCACCTGATCCAGGGCTTCCCTGGTGGCGCAGTGGTTGAGAGTCCGCCTGCCGATGCAGGGGACACGGGTTCGTGCTCCGGTCCGGGAGGATGCCACATGCCGCAGAGCAGCTGGGCCCGTGAGCCATGGCCGCTGAGCCTGCACGTCTCCGCAACGGGAGAGGCCACAACAGTGAGAGGCCCGCGTACCACAAAAAAAAAAAAAAAAAAAAACCCCCTGACCCACCCG